GTAGTGATCATAACATGGTTAAATTCGAGGTTAATTTTAGTGTCCGAAGAGCAAAGTCGAAATTAAAAGTATACAGTGTTAGGATGGCTAACTTTAATGGTATGAGACTGAAACTAGAAACTGTAAACTGGACAGAGTTAAATAGCAAAACAGTTGAAGAGGCATGGGAATTTTTAAAAAGCACATTGTTGCAAGTGCAAGAGGACTTTATACCTGTTTCCATCAAAACTACATCTAGGAAATGACAACCAAGGTGGTTTACTAAGGAAATTAAGAATAAAATCAGGTGGAAAAGGGCTCTGTTCCACAATTGGAAAATAACTAATGATTTCAAAATTAAGCAGGAGTATCTAAGTCTACAGGTAGAGTGAAATAACACTAGACTGTCCAAGAGGGATGTAGAAAGCATTGGATTGGAGGCTAAGGATGACAATAAAAGTTTCTTCCAATATTTTAACTACAAGAGCTCTAAAAGCTGAAATCACTAATTTGCAGGATGGTAAGGACCTTATAACTGAAAATGAAATTGATATAGTAAATGAGTTTAATGATTATTTTTCACGGGTTTTCACAGTAGAGAACACAAGTAACTTACCACCAATTAGTATGAATTCAGCATTGTCTATGACCAATACAGTATATATATAACTGAGGCTGATGTGGTACTAAGCCTAGCTAAGCTCAAAATAAATAAATCGCAGGGCCCTGATAGCATCTTACCTATAGTTTTAAAAGAGATGAAGGATATTATTATCCAACCTTTAACTTTAATATTCCAGAAATCGTTATCTGCTGGTGTGGTACCTTCAAATTGGAAGCATGCTAATATAACACCCATATTCAAAAAAGGGAATAGAAGTAATCCAGCAAACTATAGACCAATCAGTTTAACTAGCATTACTGGAAAAAATAATGGAAGCTATAATCCAAGTGAAAATGGTAGATTACCTGGATGCAAATAACATTCTGAGGGATAGCCAACATGGATTTAGAAGAGGTAGATTCTGTTTAACGAATCTACTTGAGTTCTTTGAGGAAGCTACAAGTGAAATTGATCACAAAAAGGCCTACGATGTGATATCCTTAGATTTCCAGAAGGCCTTTGATGTTGTCTCCCACAAACGGTTCTTGCTAAAGCTCAAAGCTGCAGGGATTGTGGCAGCTTGGATCGAATAGCTGATTACGAGAAAGATCTCAGTGTGTATGTTGATGCTTCCATGTCCCACTCTCGCCAGTGTGGGGAAGCAATAAAAAAGGCCAATAGAATGTTGGGTTATATCTCTAGATGTGTGGAGTTTAAGTCAAGGGAGGTGATGTTACATTTATACAATTCCTTGGTAAGACCCCACCTAGAATACTGTGTGCAGGTTTGGTCACCATACCTTAAGAAGGACATTACTGCCTTAGAAAAGGTGCAACGGAGGGCTATGAGAATGATTCCTGGTCTTAGAGGAATGTCTTATGAGGAGAGGTTAGCTGAGCTGAATCTGTTTAGCCTTGAGCAAAGGAGACTAAGGGGGGACATGATCCAGGTCTATAAGATTCTAACGGATCTGGATGCTGTTCAGCCAAATGGCTATTTCAAAATTAGTTTAAATACTAGATCTCGTGGCCATAAGTGGAAATTAGTGGGAGAATATTTTAAAACAAATTTGAGGAAGCACTTCTTTACACAGCGTGTAGTTAGAGTATGGAATAGTCTTCCTGCTAGTGTAGCGGAAGCTAAAACCCTGCGTTCCTTTAAATCAGAGCTAGATAAGATTTTAACAACTCTGAGCTATTAGTTAAGTTCTCCCCAAATGAGCTTGATGGGCCGAATGGCCCCCTCTCGTTTGTAAATTTCATATGTTCTTATGTAGATCATACATGTTAATCTCCTCTCTTCATATGGTTATATTACCAAAGGGCCACAGCAGTATTGTAATATGCATATTGGGACTATTAGCCCTCATTAGAGTTCCCTGGCACTATCAGTGCCCCCTCCCCCCTTTTGGGTTGAGCGGTGTCTGACTGAGGTGTTTACAGATGGCACCACGATCTTGTAAACACCTCTCAAAGCGAGGTGTCCGTTCTGCGCAGGTGGGCTATAAAATCTCTGGCTGCTTTGTGACGGGTCCCTAACTGCAGACGACGCAGGCAGTGCGAGCATCGCAGGCTCTCGCTGAGCAGGCCATCCTCATTCTAGAGGCGTCACGTGAGGCTCCGGTTGCAGCTCCAGTCTCTGAATGAAGCATCAGCTTTCATTTCTGTGTGTAATACGTTTGTTCCTGCTTCTATCGTGGGAGGGGGCAGAGTTCAACCCACATTGCCAGGGCTGATTTCCATTTAAGCCTTAGGACAGAGCGGGTGGGTGTAGTAAAGATCTGGTTTGGGGAAGGGTGGGGGGGGTGGTCATAATGAGCTGCTGAAAGCTGTGGCGTAGTAAATAATTTTCTTTACTTGTGTCTCTAAAAGGCACTGCGAGAGTTTCACTCGCTGCCTGTGTCAGAAGACCCCACTGATTCAGGAGACTTGTGGTCTCTGTGTTACATCATAAAGGCCGTCCGCTTAACGTCACAAAGGCCATCTGTGTAAATAAAGCATGCAGTTGTCGCTTCGAATATGAGATGTCGATTCTTCGTAATGAATGGACAACGTTATATTTATGACGTCGTTTGCCCAAATGTGACACCCATTCCGTGCACCTTCATGATATGCTCGACGGGCCTTATGCCTTGGGTAAAGTTACTGTGTTTACTCCGGGCCCTGAAATGAAGAAAGGGGCGGGGCTGCTGCCTTTTGTCTCCTCGAGTGATCGGCCATTGTGTCGGAAGCCCCCGGCATCGCTAGGCAACCTGGCACTGGGCTCCAGGCATCCATATTTTCCCAGAGTGCAAGTTCATTTTTCCCATCTAGACCATCCTAGGAGCGGGACGTGGGGGGTAGGGTGGCTGCAGATGCAGAGGAAAGGGGTGGGCATGAGTATTCAGGGTGTAGGGAGTCTTGGGCTCCGTAAGAAGTAGAATAGTAAGTCATCTGTTTACTAGGCCCTAGGGTGACCGACAAGTATGGAGGGCTTCCACTTTGAGCCGAACGTTTTCCAGAAACTTCCCTCAGCCCAGTTCAGCGTCGTGTCTGTTTGTCTCCCATATAGAATTCGAGGAGCAGCTTTATGACCACAAAGTGGTGGGACAGACGTTCCGGCAGCCGTCGTCTGAGAGCTCAGAGGAGACCTCCCACGGCAGATCACCCCTGGCGCTGCCCAGACGGCCTCACATAGTCTTCCTGGTAACCTCTCCTGCTTTTTATCTCACATTTTATCTCACTTCAAATGGTTTTGTATGTTTTGCTAATTTTAATGTTGCCAGTTTTTAAGTAAATTTAAATATATACTTATTTGACAATTACTGAACTGTGGCTCTGTTGGTTTTTCCACAAAAATGCATTTTCGATTGCTGAGTGAGGCATAAATGCGAACCGTAATTGCTTTAATTGCTGATTATGTGTTTGCGCTGGTGACATTTATGTCGCATGCAAGAATCTGTCTGAAAAATAAATGTAGAGTAAAGTCCAAGTATCTTGTTTTAATCATTTTTATACTTTAATCAGGGGGTGATGCAGCAGATTGCACTGGGACCGGGGTTTGAGTCTCTGCCAGGGCTCTATGTGTGTGGAGTTGGCATGTACTCCCCATGTCGTTGTGGGGTTTCTACTGGGTACTCCGGTTTGCCCCCCACATTCCAAAAACACGTTGAGGTTAATTGGAGTTACCAAATTGCCCGTAGGTGTGCGTGTGTCAGTGAATGATGTGTGAGTGAGTGGTGTGTGAGTGAATGGTGTGTGAGTGAATGATGTGTGAGTGAATGGTGTGTGAGTGAATGGTGTGTGAGTGAATGGTGTGTGAGTGAATGATGTGTGTGTGAATGGTGTGTGAGTGAATGGTGTGTGAGTGAATGATGTGTGTGTGAATGGTGTGTGAGTGAATGGTGTGTGAGTGAATGGTGTGTGAGTGAATGGTGTGTTAGTGAATGATGTGTGTGTGTGCCCTGCGATGGGTTGGTGCCCCATTCTGGGTTGTTCCCTGCCTTGCGCCCATAGCCTCCAGGATAGGCTCTAGACCCCCTGTAATCCTGAATAGGAGGTGCATGCAGGTACAGACGATGGACAGGTAACTGTTTAAGCAAGAACTACGAATAAGTGGCCACAACAGAGCAGTAGTTTTGGCCTTTCAAAGGCGATTGGCTGTTATTTTTAGGTGTTTGTTCTAGAACATTCTCTTCCGCCACCCACCTGCAGCCAACCTCCAAGCGTGCGAGCGACTGCAGCACCCTCACGACCTGGTCTGTGAGCTCGGCCAGCAGCAGTCCGGGCCGCTCCCAGCGATCCTCCCGCGGCCCGCCCGTTGCCCAGAAGCCCCGCTGGCACCTCAGATGCCACACTCCCGCTCACCTGGGCGCTGCTGACGCAGGTACCACCCCGTTTCTCCAGCCGCATGCCCAGTGCACCCTGAAGAGACTAGCACATTCATTCTCTGTATAAATTCTTCTTTCCTATAAAGGTGTTTTTGAGCACATTACTCACGCTTTCAGCTCACAGCCTTTCTCTCATATACCCTCGCTCTGCCTTCATACTGATCTACCTCACCACCACAACTTATAATTCAGTAACACTTTACTTAAAGCAGTTATCATAAGACATTATAGATACCTTCATAATACATTATAATGCATTCATAAAATATGAAAAACATGCCTGTTTATAAAAAATGTATAACACATTATAGCTGTGTTTATTATGCATTATGAATGCTTATACTGACCATTATGACTGCCTTATGAAGCTCTCATCTATAATGCACTATTGATACCTTCATAATGCATTATAATGGTCAGTATAGAAATGAAATTAAGGATGCTTTATACTGCATTATGAAGGCACCTGTAGTGCATTGTAGATGAGAGCTTCATAAGGCAGTCATAATGCATTATAAACATGGCTATAATGTGTTACGCCTTTTTATAGTTATAGTCGTGTTTGTAATACTTTATGAATGCATCATAATGCATTATGAAGGTATTTATATACATAAATGTATGCATTTATATGACTGCGTTAAGTAAAGTGTTACCTATAATTCTTCTCATTAACTTAACATGAACATGAACATTTTCAATACAAATTTCTTTTTTTATTTTGTTATTGGTCTCCTTATTGTTGTAATTTTTTCCCCTTTCACCCCAAGTATCTGCAAAGTAGATCAGTACATTTACAAAAGTATTTAAGCTGCAGTTCTCTTCCTGGGGTCCAGGAAGTGTTTTTTTTTTTCTTGTTGCCTCCTAACCGGTAGCAGTTGCTATGAAAAGCTTTGGGTTCCAGGGTCCTTTCCCATGAATATTTTTAAGTTAGAGGTATGACACTTTCCATAGAAGCTTCATCCAGGGTGGGACTGACCATCTGGCATGCTGGGTATTTTCCCAGTGGGCTGATGGATATGTGGGCTGGCAATGGGGGGGGGGCTATGGGGGTACCTGTGGTGAGAACGTGGTGAGGTTCCTGGTTCCTTTAAAACTCCTGGTTACTTACTATAATGCAGTGCAAAGCATCCTTAATGTTTATACTGACCATTATAATGCATTATGAAGGTATCTATAGTGCATTATAGATGAGAGCTTCATGAAACATTCGTAATGCAAAATAAACATGGCTAAAATGTGTTATGTCTTTTTATAAGTCTTTATAGCCATGTTTAAAATGCATTATGAATGCATTATTATTTGTTAGGAATGCTTTTATAAGTTACTAAAAACATGGCCTTAAGTAAAGTGTTACCACAGTTTCTGCAGTCGGAAATGGCCTGTCCATGTGCAGTGCTGCATGATGAAAGCCTCTGTTCAATGTACTGTGCAATATCGCAGAATCAGCTGCCTGAACTGAAAACACTGCTGTCTGTCTGTGTCCTTCAGGGGATGTTTGTCTTCCAGAAAGGACTCTGAACTTTGACCTAATTAAAGGCACCCTCTCACCTGAGCCTCTCTATCACAAGCACTCAGAAAGCGGCGTTGACCATTTTCCACTGCGAAAGACCTTCAGCGATTTGGACCAGAGTGTGCCCCAGTCTCCAGGAAGGATGGAGCAAGCCAGCCTTATGTGTACCAGTTCATCCTGGAATGGGCCCAAGGGCTCCACCTTCTCCCCTACCTGGAGCAGCTCTTTCAGCACCTTCCCATTAGCGGCCGAGCTGCTTTCCTCGGAGCACCCAGCTGGCACGGTCCCTTGCAGCTTTGGTGACAGCTCAGGTCATTCCGTGAGCTCAGGGTCACGTTCTGGTTCCTTAGTCTCTATCCCAACTGAGTTGTCTGGCAAGACTCGGACCACTCCTGCAACCGATGCTACCCATGGGCAGAGTGGAACCGAGAGCTCTGCAGGAAGTCCCAGAGAAAAGGAGGCGAGGCCCAAACGAGCTGATGCTTCCAGAATGTTCCGAGGGCGGTCTCTCTCCACTCCCACCGACTCGGACTCGATGTGTTCTGTTGAAAACCTGGGCGTGCAAGGAGAGAGCTCCACCCCACAGTACCCTAGCGGAAGCTCAGAGGATGGAGTCAGCACCAACAGCGTCTCTCCATCGGGGGTGGACCTCCTACCTGATGGGAGTTCGCGCTCGAGGTCCCGCAGCATCTCACTGAAGAAGCCAAAGAAGAAACCTCCACCCCCTGTTCGTAGTGTGTCCCTGAGGAATGGCGGCACCACCGATGGCCGTGAACAACCCAGAGACAGCAGGCCCAAGAGCCTCATCATCCCCAGGGACCACCAGCTGGGCTTTCAGCCTGATTTCATCTCCAGTTCCAAGCCACCACAGCAGTTGCAGGACCTGTCTAAGCCCGGTGGGAGGAGAGTTATAGAGACCCAGGAATTGAAACGAGAGACAGTTCAGTCAGCCACTCTGAACCAGTGTAAGCTTACCAACCTAGAAAAGTTGGTGTCAAATTCAAGTGCAGAGCAGGGTGCCGTTGTGGTGCAGAACGTGAAGGTGTGCAGCAGCTCCGAGTCGCTCCCCTCCCCACCCAGCTCCCAGGCTACTGCACTTTCACAGCTTTCAGCAGAGACGGAATCAAAAACATCCCAAGGCAAACCGTCTGGACTGATGTCTCCATCTAGTGGTTACTCCAGTCAGTCCGAAACTCCCACTCCAACCATTCCCACCTCTACCATTATGGGACCCTCTCCACTGGGCTGCAGGATGCGACCGAAGATCCCACAGAGGAAGTCGTCTTTGCCTGCCCCATCTCCAGCAGAGAGGGCTGCCAGGTGCCGGCTGTCGTTCGAGCTGCCCGTGACCACGCACCTGGACCTGTTCTCCATCAAGCCAAAGTCGAGAGCTAGTCGGCGACACTCTGACTCCTCGGCTGCCATCCGCTCTGGATACAAACTGAGCCCGAGTCAGTCGATCATGCCCTTGGTGACCCAAATGGATTTACGGAATGTTCGGCTGCGCTCTGTCAGCCGCTCGGAAACTGATGACAGTGTGGATGGGTCCTCTGGCATCCTCGAGGAGGAACAGACCTGTGACCCTGCCCCTTGTTCAACCACAAATGTCAAACCTAAGCCCCCGGTGGCAGTGAAACCTCCTTTACCTAAACGACCTCCCAACTTGAGTTTAAAGTCTCCTGGTTCCTCCTCTTCCTCCTCCCACACCTCTGACCGCCAGCCATCCTCATCAGCAGAAGGAGACATCTACACAGAGGTTAAAAAACCCAAGAAGCCGCCAAAATCTCCGATCACCCCTGGCTGTGTTCCGGACTCTGGTGGGCAGCTGCAGCAGAGGGTCGTGGAAGATCAGCAAGGGGCAGAACGTTGTTCGCAGACCTCGTCCATCAGCCCAGAAGCACAGGGCAGTGGAAGATCATTGCCCAGCAGAGTTTCTACCCCATCTGTGGCTGAAATGGATAAGAAGGGGAATAAGGTGCCTCCTCCTATTCCAAAGAAACCAAACATTGTTTTTGTGTCTGTTAACACCTTCCACGCCAGTATTCCTACAAACAGGCCAGTGAACCCAGTGGAGAGCTGCAGCACTCCCACGTATCAGATGGTGACCGCTAAACAGGAAAAGCACTCCGATTCATCTCCAAGGGACTGTGATAAAGATGCTGACCAGAGAGCACCTGTCTCCCAAGCAACATCCCGTAAGCCATCAAATTAGATGGAACATTTCCTGCCATATGAATGACATTTAATCTCCCAACACTGCAGGGAACTCTGAAGCTTCCCATTTCAGAAACATGACAAATATCGTAAATGTTTTTTATTCTGCCAAAAGCTGGCGATAGGGGGACGGAGAGAAGTTCCGAAGATTCGGAGAATGAGAGGAGCATGCCGGGTAACACGGACGAGGACTCTGATGATGTGTTCGTGCAGAGCTCGCGGCCGGCTGCCACCGAAGACCTTTTCACCATTATCCACAGGTACGGCAAACGTGGGAATGTATTGGAAGAATTCAAGTGCAACGCTTTTGGTAGCAGGCAATACTGTAAGTTCTGAAGGGGAATTCAGCCCACAAATTATATTAAAGGCAATTTGTATATTAGTGGATGACTTCCTGTGTTTACAAAGGAGATTGTCCTACATGCTTCATGGGCAGAGAACTTGGCCTTTTTCCATCTTATGCAATCGGCAGTTAGTTCTAAGCTACAGGGTGTGGAATTTACATGTTTGGCGCATCACCGGTGTTTCACCAATCCCAGCATCGGATGACAGTGTGTGTGTCAGGCCTTGTATTTTGTCTTTTCACATTTTTTTGATTTTTATATTTTAAGAAAAGCACACAACAGAGCACTTCTCGTTGTTAATTGATAATCCACTGCCCATGACTCTTTAGCCATACATAAAGGTCAGTCTGCTTAATACGGAAGCTGTCCTGCAGAATGAAGACCAGAGTGGGTTGTAAACCCTATTTAGTGGGGCTCAATTAATCAAAAAACCATTTAGTGATTTATCCTGGATTTTCATATGCATTTTGTACTCCTCACACTTCATTGTGGGGATCCCGCCTCCACTTGGCAAATTTAATCATGGGGGGGTGACGTCCACAAAGACAGTACTAGGGACACTGGGGGCCCTAGGCAAAAAACTCCATGTGGCCCTCCAATGCACCCTGCCTGACATGGTGAAATTTATTACCATTATTTTAGCATGATGTCTAAATGAATAATATCAACAAAGAGTATTCAATAAACCCAATTCCTTTATTTTCATTTTACTCTGAAAAACAGAATGCACAAATAAAGCAGATTTGTCGTTGCAATGTACTATGTAATCGGCTGCCCTCAGGAGCCCCCTCCTAGCTCAGGGCCCCAGGCAGTTGCCTGCCTTGATTGTCCTGTGCTTATGCCTCTGGACGTCCCGTCTTTCTTCAAGGGCCTGAGCCCCCCTAAGCCCCCCTAAGGGTCAAATTCTAGAATCACCACTGATGAAGACACCATCTACAGCTTTGCATTGGGATGGTCTTTTTGGTAGATTGATATAAAACTGCAGGTTTACAGTAGCACACCACACATTTAATAGACAGTAACAATAAATAATAAACATCAGTAAACAGTAACAGTGTCATAGAAAGTATTGCACAGAATTCCATAGTAATGGCTCATAAATAAATAGTATAGCACAGTGTGTTGTTCAGTGAATGAATTAATTTTCTGTGAGTGAGCCTAAACAATTCTGATCCATTCAGACAGTCAGTTGCCACCCACCAGTTGTATTTGTAGGCTTATTTACATGGTAAGTGTCACAATTAAACATACAAAACTGTCTTGTTTCAATGGAAACACTATTCATGACTTCACAGTGTGTGCTGCCTGTCTGACCACATGATTATGCTATATGCTAGTTTTCATTCATGGCTGCGTTGCTAGCAGGTGATTTTCAGTTTAATTTGTGAACCTTTCTTTCCATTAAATTAAATCACCAAGATCACCTTCTGTAATGAGAGTAGAATACGTCTATGGTTTCCTGGGCTGAAAATCATCGACTAGCACAGAACATAAAGAAAACGTTTATGGAGTCATCTTGACTGCCATGCTGGACAGAAATAGCTGAAAGTGAAACTGAAAGTGAAACTTGCTGTGCCAGTATATTTAAAATATAGTTCATTTATCACCTTCCTTCCAAAAACCATCCCTGAAGGTCAAAGCGGAAAGTTTTGGGTCGCAAAGAACCGTCGGATCAGTTTGGCAGCAAGCAGAGCTTGACGTCTCCCGTGAAGGGCGACGGCGATCAACGCGCCACGACCACAGGGGCGGCGCCGTGCTACAACTCCCGCAATGATACCTTCATGGCCCTGCTGCAGAGGAAGAATAGCAAGCCCAGCGGCAGCAGGGGCATGTCAGCCGCGGAGCTCCTGCGGACCACCAACCCACTGGCCCGTCGAGTCATGGAGTTCACCATGGCTGATCCGGAGCTGGCCCCCAAACCCAGATCCTCACAGGGAAGCTGATCACCCTGGACATCGCTGTGGAGCTTCTGGGTTGGTGCTAAACATTTGTGCATATCTCGCCTGTTCAGTAACTGAGGAGCGAGGCTCCAACAAACCTTTTGTGCTTTTTATAAAGTATGTCTATGGATGCCATTTTTTATTGCTCTTGTGCCACAGGGATTCTGCTGAGGAGAAGCAGGGTTTCAGGATTAAATCATTACTCAAGGTGGATGTTTGACATCAGAAGCACCTGCTGAAAGTGGCCAGTTTTAGCCATGTTGAGATTGCTAAGCCATGGCAGAACCTTCTGAAGACAAGGCTGATGATTGTTTTGGGGTGTAACCAACTATACAAATAATACATTCTACAAAGACTATAAATAAGACGATTGCAGGATTTAGAAAACCTTTAAATAAAAAGTGCTTTTGTTATAATCAAGGGACATTTTTGTTAGCTTTTTTTTAAAAAAAAAAATCTTTTATTTTGGCCTGTAAATAGGTGTAAATAAAGAATATATCTTTAGAAGTATATAAACAAATAGATGTCCTATGTATAATGAGATTTGTAAAAGAAAAAAGTTTGATTTAGTCTCATTTGATGACAGAGAAAAGATGATTCATACACAAAATTGAGATGAGGGTGATTCTGCTGACACAGTGTGAATCCACCTGAAGTGTCACAAATGGGTCTTTGCTTGAGGTGAAGGCAAACAGAGGCAGACAGACGCATTTAAGTGGGCAGATTTCTGCCTGGGGCGCTTAACAGGTATATTTGTGTTTAGGGCATTTGGACGGGCAGGTTGATTGCTCAGGTGTTTATTCATGCTCAGGAGATTCGTTGTGGTGGGGGGGGAGGGGGCTGTCCGCTGGGAGTTGGCTTTATGTTTATTATTATAATTTTTTTAAATTTGTACTTCAGTTTAGCGTGTTATCTCATCACATCTCTCAGTCTGACCGTGATGATCCAGCATCTTGCAAGACACTTTTTGATTAAAATTCTGTGTTCCAAAATGCCTCTGCATCCAAGCTGGGCAGGATTGGTGTCATCATGAGCATCATGAGCATCAGCAGCATCATAAGCATCATCAGCATCAGTCAGGCTGGGCTGGGATGGTAACAGTTCCCAGATCTTCACCTGGTCACATGGTCAATCACAGACTTGACTGCATCGTCGTAGTCTTCATTTTTAAAAAGGTACCCGCATTTTTCAGTTTGTGGGGGGACGTACCAACACCTCAAGGAACACAAAGAAGGGGCTTAAATGGAGAGAGCACTGTGGGGCCGAGCTGGCTTTGCATGCAGGCACAGAGAAGACGACTATGCTCACGTGTGAATGGAGTTCTGACTGTAGGAACAAGTCACCTCAGATTTTATCTGTATTATTATTATTGTTCATGTGATCCATTTTCCAAAATTAAACAAAAGTGGTCAATGGACTGAATGTTGCTCTAGTCGTCTTTGTTTTTTTCCCCCTAATTCACCACTTTGTTTTGTTATAATCATGACCACTGTCAGCATCCATTTTTGCCTGCAGATTGGAAGTCTAGTAGCAGTAATAAGTAAATGCGACATAAATAATTAAAAATCTTGAAGGCAAAAATAGAAGGATACAATGGTTCTGTACAGTTAAGCAATTTCTATCTGAATCACAGTTTCTGGCAATCTTTGACACTTGTCTGATGGTTTTCCAGGCAGAATCTCACTCTTGCTAATTCAGATGCTGATCTACCAGTAGTAACTAGGGGTTGATCTTTGAGCAAAACACACGGCTGAGATTTCCAAGAAGCTTGACGGTGGCCATATTTCGGAAAAGCAGACGGTCTCTGTCTTGACACTGAGTGAGTAGCTTCACTCTCTATGTTTGCCACCAACTATGTAAATAGATGCTTAATTCTGCCACTCATGAGAACATGGGGTGACCTAAGTGAGACACACAAGCCTTTGTCCGCCTTGGTCTAAGCTACCTTTGGATAGCTATGAAGGTGCGTGTGTGTGTGTGTGTTTGTGTGTGTGTGTGTGTGGGTGATCAAAGTCCATCCTATTCATTAGATTATTTTGTTTTTCTAGGTTAAAGTAAAGCAAAGTCTATGAAAGCTGTAATTCTATAGAGTATAGGAAATATATAAGAAATAATCTGGTGTAACAAGAAAATGCTGAAGTTGTGTAAACAGTGCGTTTGTACTGATGCTGTGTTGATGAGGCCCAGCCGGGAAGCTCTGTGAGGATCATGCTGAAATGCAGTGGATCAGAACCGCCATCAGCAGTTCAACATGCAGCCGTGGATTTTGCTGTTTTGAATTCTGTAATTTCAATAAATTATTTTTTTCCTTAACATCGGCTTTCTTAACGCTTTCTGCATGTTTTACTCTACTGGCCTTTTCTGTTGGTGGTTCTGGCTTCATTGTTATACATTTCTATCCAATCTATCCGTCCGTTTCCCGAGCGCTTTTCCCGGGGAGGGTAGCAGTGGCAGCCCGCCCTGCAGGACAAACTAGCACAGACTCCAGCTCCTTCTGGGCCTCTGTGGGAGCTCCCAAGATGGCTGGACGATACAGTCCCTCCTGCATGCCCTAGGTCTGTCACAGCACCTCCACCCAGTCAGCAATGTCCAAAACAAGCCCCTTGTAAGTCAGTCATGCGATTTCCAAACAACCTCAGCTGACTCCCCTCCTTCAAATAGAGCAGCAGTTCTATTCTGAGGGTCCCTCCAGATCTACAAAGATCCAGACCATTTGGCAACCTTTCAGAAAACCTTTCAGAGAAGCCTTAAATTGACCACTTGTACTTACAAACATGTGTTTTTATCATTACCAAATGACTATGACTATAGGTGAGGTCTTCATCTACCCAATCAAACTGCTTATAAGCCCACATGCTGTCAGTTATGCTGAAGATCCCAGAGCCCTTAAACTCCTTTACTGAAAGCAGACTCTCCACTAGGGTCACCACCTAATCCATGTCAGGTGCGACACTATATTAGCTACTTAAGGTTTTACAAACTACTTTAAATCTGTAAGGCTAATGTGTTAAATAGTTCATTTCTTCTTGCACATTGGTTTGTTTCCTTGATTGAAAGACTCATCCAGCTGTTTACCTTAACATTAGTGACACATGCAGAAGACTGACCAATCAGCACGCAGGAAGAACTCAATGCTTAAGTGAAATCCGAGTCCTTCTAATTGAAGTGGTTTAAACGGTAGTTTCCAAACCCTGTCGTAGCTCATAGTGTCCCTCCTGACATGGATTAGGTGGTGACCCTAATCTCCCCCTTACCTGAATGGAGCCGCTCTCACTCTTTGGTGACAGTACCAAGACCTTGGATTTAGAGGTGCTTATTCCCTCGGAGGATTGCAACCTTTGCACGGTCAGAAGGTTTGTGTGTTTGACGATCCACTGAGTAATATCATTTTGGAACAGGTATGTTATGAGAAGCCTGACAAACCACAATCTAACAAAGACCCCATGAAAGGCAGAGATAAATATTACANCGGTGTCACGCGAGATCACTTTCCTTCCCGCGCGCAATTTGAATGGCCAGATCTGTAGACCAACTTACCACGCTCGTCACCCAGCTCCTGGGGGAACGAGTATCCCAGGTGGCTCTACCTGCTTCACCTCCCCAAGCGACCGCCTCCGTACCAGTGGCGATGCCTGTAAGTACGATGGCAACCCGGATCACTGTCAGGCATTCCTAATGCAATGCGGGCTTTACATCGAGGAGTTCTTCCTAGGACCCCCTCATCCTAGGTTACCCATGACAGAGGGATCACACCCCCAGGATTGACTGGAAGTCAGGTGAGATCACTGCCTGGTCATTACAATGTCTCAGGCAATGTGTAGCTCTGCCTTGCTGTGCCTCCTCGATCGAGAGCCCCGAGCCCGAGGACCTCACCCAGATTCCAGCGGACTACTCGGACTATCAAGACGTCTTCAGTAAGGCACTCTCCTTCCGACTCCCCCCGCATCGAGAGTGTGACTGTGCTATTGACCTCCTCGAGGGGTCACCCCTGCCAAAGGGTCGTCTCTATCCATTATCTGTGAAGGAGGAGGAAGCCATGGAAACATATGTAAGTGAGAGGCTAAAGCAAGGTATCATCCGCCCCTCCACCTCTCTAGTCACTGCGGGATTTTTCTTTATAAGGAAAAAAGATGGGGGCCTCTGTCCAGGCATTGATTACAGAGCCCTCAACGCTATTACTGTTAAAAGGCGGGAACCCCTTCCGCTGATCCCGCCAGCATTTGAATACCTTCGTGAAGCCACTGTGTTCACCAAACTAGATCTTCGCAGTGCTTATAATTTTGTGAGAATTCGAAAGGGGGACAAATGAAAAACATTGTTTATCACCAATACAGGACAATATGAATACCTCGTTATGCCTTACGGTTTGGCTAACAGCCTTTCTATATTCCAGCCTTTCATGAATACTGTCTTTCGGGACATGGTTAACAAGTTTGTAGTGGTATACATTGATGACATCTTGATCTACTCCCCATCCTTCTCTCAACATGTCAATCATGTACGACTCAACATGTCAACCATGTTGCTGCTTAAACCTGTGCAGTACAGCCCAGCTCACCCCTCTATTCAGGTAGCAGTTCCTCCACCCCACACCTTGCAGGACGGTTCCAGGGTTTACCAAGTCCGGGCGCTTCTGGATTCTCGTCGTCGTGCTGGAGTGTTACAATACTTTGTGGACTGGGAGGGCTTTGGCCCAGAAGAGCAGTCCTGGGTAGCGGGCTCGGACATTTTGGACAACTCCATAATCGCAGACTTCCATCTACGGCACCCATCCCGGCCAGCCCCGGTCCTCAACGTCTCCTTCGGCCTCCGGGAGGCGGCTGTCGGGGGGGGGGTACTGTCACACCCAACAGGGCAGGGCAACAGGCGATTACCACCTAATCGCTCCACAACTTAAACAGAGATAATCTGATTCACAAAATACCCCGCCTCATATTGTGATGTCATTCGGCGCTGGTACCAGTATTTTATGCCAGTGGACAACCAACACCTTGAAGTACCATACTTTTGGTATCTTATTGAAGTACCAAAAGTATGGTACCTGGTGTGGTGGGAAAGCACCCTTTAGTTGAGCGGTGAATTGGACAGCTTTACAGTGCTGTACATTTAAATTGCAATTGCAATTTAAGTCAAATGCCAATTCAGACTAATATGTTTACATGTACTTTAAAAATCAAGCTTGAGTTGGACTAACTGAATAATTCGATTTTCTTAATGTGCATGTGAATATACTGACTGTCACAGGTCTATGGTAAGGGTTTGACATCTGTAACGGCTTGGATCCCCTGTCATAGGCTCCTTGAGTCTTTGAAATGGTCTATTATCTTTTTTGTGTACTAGTTTTTGGCTTTTTCGATACCGCAGGAGGACAGGTTGGCCATGACTGTTGTCATGACTCAGAGAAACACGGAGTGAGGAAACATTGACTGGAATCCAAAATCAGGGAATGCAGGTTTTATTAGGAAAATAATCCTAACATAGAACATCGAGGCACATGCAACATTAATGACCGGACAGGGGAAACAAACTGAAATGCGGACTAAATACATTGCACTAATGACAGCAACAGGAAACAGCTGGTGAACATGGGGAATCCACACGGGGTAGATGAGGGGGCATGGCACACGGGAAGATCAGAGAAGCGGGGCATGACAGAACCCCCGCCTAAGGAGAGTGAGGAACAAGACCGGGGACACAGAACCTGGAAAACAAAAACAAAACATTAGTGGGGCACTGGGAACAGCACAGACACACAAAACAGACACAAAGGCAGCAACCCAGACAACAACTAACAAACAACGGGAAAAGGAAACAGGCACAGGGGCAACAAAATACAGGGGGAACACCAATGGGAGTAACGAAGGGGCCAGGAGTGAACGAAGGAGAAACAGGAAGATGAGGAGCAGACACAGGGG